TTTCTCTTGCGAGAGAGTCCGCGGTTTATATTAGATTCCAAAATGTTTTCATGATCCTACAAATGTTAAAAAAAAAAAATCCAGCACACTCATTTAGACATTTTTCACATACTTGTAAATTAAAGCGTGTGTTTTTATTAGCTGGGAGATATTTTTATGCTCCCTCAATTTCCAGGTATAAACTACAGCATAGAATAGCCCACAAGCTCCATCTTGGAGCCACGGATGTGGTTCTGCTTGGACGCTGCTGCTTACACTTCCTGGAGGGTCCACCCAGCCTTTCTGAGCTCCATTTTATTTTTTTACCTGTGAATTTAAGTTTCTAAAGTCCTTGTGTCCTACAGGAATGTTACATAGTAAAGAGATAATGGGTGTACATGCATTTTATAAACTCAATCTCTACAGTTGGGGGTGCAAGTATTAGTATTATAAATGTGTCATTTCTCATGTTACACCAGTGCCAAGAATACAGTAGGCAGTCGAGAAATATGTGATTAAAATGACCATGGAACAGGCTTATTGGAGTGAGAGAGCTAGAGGTTTAAAGACACTAGTGTCCGTGTGTCCGACAGGTCCTGTGGAGGACCTGGTATCCAGGCCTGGAACACAGCTAGGAGTACTGAGGAAATGATTTTCAAATGATGGTAAAAGTCAAAATGGCCTTCTAGATTCCAAGTCCATTTCTTTATTTTTCAAGAAGAATTGAGACTCAGAGAAATAGAGGCTGTCTGTCCCACTTCTTTTCAGAAGGGCTTGAGAATCTTCCTCATCACTTTCAGTGGAAGCCAAAAAAATCTTGCCTTCATATCATGAATTTGTCTCCTCTTAGACTTATCAGGGTAATCACTTCATAAGGTACATAAATGTCTAATTACTGTTGGGTTGTCAGAAAAGTCATGCCACATGTTTGCGACAGATGGCACTAGTTCATTTTCGGAAGTACTAGATTTATTCGCATCTATGTTATTGCTATGTCATTTGACAGCTGACAGTTCTAGCTTCATTCTAAAAAAAAAATTGAGCGATTTGGTTGAGTATTGGAAATTTTACAGCAAGTTGAAGTCACCTGAAGAAGCTGGGATACGTAAGCAAGCTCGATATTTGGGTTCCACATGAACTCAAAGAAGTTCATTTGATGACACGTATAAACATCTGCAATATGCTCATTAAACGTGAGGAAAACGATCCTTTTTTGAAGCAACTGATAACTGGTGATGAGAAGTGGATTGTTTACAACAATGTGGTGTGCAAACAGTCTTGGTCCCGACGTGAGACCAAATGACATTGAAAGTAGCCTCAAATGACACTGAAAGTAGACATTCATCAAAGGAAGGTTATGCTCTCAGTGTGGTGGGACTTTAAAGGTGTCGTGTTTTTTGAGCTCCTACCAAGGAACCAAACAATCGATTCAAACGTGTACTGTCGGCAGTTGGGCAGTTTGAATGAATCCATCATCCAGAACTGTCCAGAGCTTGTTAATTGTAAAGGAGTTGTGTTCCACCGTGACAACGCGAGATCACACACAAGTTTGATCACCCGTCAAAAATTATTGGAGCTTGGATGGGATGTGTTGCCACACTCACCATACTCGCCTGACCTTGGGCCGTAAGACTTCCACTTGTTTCACTCTTTTCAAAACTCCTTGCATGGTATAACGTTCAATTCAGATGAAGCTATAAATCAGCACCTTGTTCTGTTTTTCGCAAATAAAGGCAGGTCTTTTTATGAATGAGGAATTATGAAGCTCACTGAAAGACGGCAAAAGGTTATTGAACAAAACGGGCAATATATCATTGATTGATCTTTGTTCTTTATATAAATAAATGACCTTTGAAAAATATAGACAAAATACATCATGACTTTTACAACAACCCAATATGTTGTACACATGAAACTAATACAATATTGTATGTCAACTCTAATTGAAAAGTAAATTTTAAAAAATGGTACAGCATTCACACCACACAGTCTTAATTCCGTTATTGGGGCCACTTAGCGGCTGGCAGTTCTTAGAACGTGGTGACTAGGCACAGTGCACTAGAAAAACTATTTCCAAAACAGCTTTTTTCTTGGAATGTTCTCACAGACACATCAGAGCAGTGGCCATATAGGTTATCACCACCACTCTCAGCTCGACTGAGACCCAGAGACGTTCCTATGACTTGTCCAAGTCACAAAACTCAGTGCCCAAAGCAAGGTAAAAATCCAGTTGCTCTAATTTTCCATCCTCAGAGCCACTGGCTTCTGTTTGCTCTAAGAGCACCCCTGCTTGATTTTGGCACATTTACTGAATCAAACTAGAAGAGTCTATCCAGGGGGAAGATTTTGGCACATTTACTGAATCAAACTAGAAGAGTCTATCCAGGGGGAAGATAGATTTTAGTTTAAAATATATATTCCACCTAGGGCTGAAAAGGCTGTGTTTATGTCCCCTCACACTCCAGGCCAGATATTTCTGGAGAAAAGCAAAATCTCATCAGATGCCCTTCTTGCCCCTAATTGACAAAACAGTAACCTGGAAGTGTGTTTTTGCTTAATGGCTCTGTGTGTGTGTGTGTGTGTGTGTGTGTGTGTGTGTGTGTGTGTTGACTATAATCTATCCTTTCATTTAAGCAATTTGCAATAGAGAGGAGTTTGAAATTACATTTAATTATTGCTTTATAATGAATGTGACTTAATTAAATATCACTTAAAAATAGTCTTCTCTTTTCCTGTAATTGCATTACTTTTTTGAGGGGAGGTTTTATTTTGCTCTTTAACTTGATTGTGCTTTTGGAAAGTACCCTAGTACAGGGTATCCGAAAGCAGAAAATCCTGGCACTTTTCCCACTTTCCATTCCTTCTTCTGTACGGACGCCAGATTCCTTTGGGAAATCATCATTTGTAAAAGGTCAGGAGCAAAAGGAGGGGTGTTCTTTAGTGTACAGTTACTACTAATTAGAAACTAAACATCTGTAACCATGTCAGAGTTATTTGTATTTGAAAAGAAACATTTATACACAAGAGCCCTTTCGGTAACATAAAACACACTATAACACGGAAGTGTGTGTGTTGGAGGAGCAGGGGACAGACAGAAGGGAAGCTTCCAACAAATGACTGTGCTGAGTGAGGTCATTTGCTAATTAAATCTCAAAGCATTTTTCAGAGTATTTTCTTTTCTCTGTCAAGTGAAGTTTTCTCACTAACCCCCATCTCCCCCCCCCCCGCCCTAAGGTCCAAAGCAAACATTTTACTCTATTTGCCAATTACAGATTAAACATTTAATCTTTTTAAAGAAAAAAAATAAGTGAGAAAATGGGTGAGTTGGCAGGACCCAGTCAAAGACCGTTGGAGAATCTCTAGCCACCTACTGTAACCTTAGCCCTCAGCGTCTTCCCATAATAGGATGTAAGGCGAGCTCTTCCCCATCCTGGCAGTGCGTGCTGATTGACCTAGCTCATGGACCTACGCTCTTAGGGGAAAAAAATGACACAATGTTTTGACTTATCCGGTACCTCTATCTCCTCCTCGCCTACCTCCTCCTCCCTACCCTACTCCCCATGATGAAATTCTGCTCGGGTCATTCCATTTGTACAGAAATGTTATCTGTACTTGTATTGTCATATCAAGATAAATGTCAGTGATACCTCTGGGGTGTTAGGAACATTTCAGTCTTAGGGTTTTTCCTCCACATGCTAAGCCTACATGGCCACATAGGCCTAATGGCTCAGATTTTACCACTAATTTCTTCTTGGAAAACTGATTAATTTTAGAGAAAACAAAAACAAAACAAGAGCCCATCTCTTTCCCCTGTAGAGTCTGCTATCTTCTGACCTTTCCCATTCTTGTCTTGGCATCTTAAGACATTTCTGTAAGTTGAGTGAGTTACTTTTTCAATTGGATGTAAAGATCATGAAGCCTTGAGAGTTCTAGTCAATAACTTATTTAAGCTAGGACTTACCATATTGGACTTTCCTCTCAAATAATACTATATCTGTGAAGGCTCTCAGGTGCACAGTTTCAGCAAAATGGTTGTGGACTCTCAGGTCCTGAGTGTTTACAAAGTCAACAGGCCCTTAGATGAGGACATGCCTTTCCAATGACCTGTGTAGAATCTCAAAATACCCCTTGTCCATGACGTTGACTTATTTGAGAACTGGCTTCTCTTTGAGCTCTTTGGGTGTGAGTTAGCCCAGAGGCAAGGATTTGGTGACCTGAGGGTCCATCTCTTGTTCTCTTGACAGTGGGTTCAGATCATGTTGTCTACCATTTATGGCTGACCCACTTCTCAGCCTTAGGCTCCACTGTTATGCAAGAGCCACTACTTCAAGCAGACACATCTACCTGCACCTTGAGCATTTCTACTCTTGCTTTACACCCCTGTCCCTGGTTGAAACAACTGCCTTGTTTCTTTTGGCGTTACTTGAATTATGCTTGCTTTCCGGAGTTCCATCCTTCTCAGAACCACAAGTAAAGTTTTATCCTTCGGTAGCCATAATGTTAAGATCACTTGCTTATCATTTTTCCAGTACTCTCTTGTGCTTTTGGTCATCTTCTCAAATGTGCTTCTCATCTTGCCAACCAGAGAGTATAGGCTCCTCAAAGGCAGCACTGACGGTCTTGTTTCTCATGGCTCTTCTCATGGTGCTTTTGTTCCTTATGAGTGCCCAATAAATGGTTGGTTGATTGTTGAGGTGTAAGCCATTTTTGCCTATTTATTGTCTTATTCTCAAAGCCTATCTGCATTTATCCCTGTGATAGAATCATAGATGTTAATGGTATTTATAAGAAAAGCAAAGTCACCTTTGGAACTAATGCAAACACACACACACACACACACACACACACACACACACACACACCATTTGGAATGAGGGAATTATAAAAAAAATCATTTGGAATAAAGAGCAACTTGCTAAAACCCCCTCAGCTTTGATGTCGCATCCAGAACTATATAGATCATCAAAGGCACAGATGTAGAAGTGAGGATTGAATGGTCTTGTCTTTCTGTTTCTTCCCAGATGTGGCTGCTCACCTGTCTACCGCTCCCGTGAAATGGCAGCTCGTGCCTTGGTCCCATTTGTTATGAAAGACGAAATCCCTGACACCATCCGAGCTCTGTTGGCCAAACTCCCCAACTGCACTGACCAGTGTTTCCGGCAAAACCATATTCATGGGACACTTCTCCAGGTAAATAAAGTTACTTTGTGTGACTTCTGTCAAACACCAAGGATTGAACTTTGGTTGCTCAGGTACTGTTAGCAGGTAACGATTTGATGCACACACTTTTCATTTTATCCAAAAAACTTTTTATATTGCTGAAAGAACAGGTATTTCCTAGGTGTATTTTTTTCATTATATTCATGAATACAGCGTTACACTGTGATTCTCCCAGATCATCTGCTGCTTTAAATCCTGTTTTCTACATCATGCTTTCCCATTTGTACTTACCTCTCTGAACCAGGTAAAACTTTGTCTTTTCCATCAAGTATGCCTGCAGAACATTCTAAGCCACTCCCTGTTCAGAGTTAAATTGTGAGTGTTTCTTGAACGAGAGGTTAGCCCAAGAAGCACAAGGGGAGTTACTCATGCCTATCAGGGAGTATGCTCTGCAAAACAGTACCATAGTACGTGGAAATAGCAAACCTACTTTTCAGTTTTCTCTGCACTATAAAGGAGACTTTTTGTTTTTGAAAAAATTGACTTCTTATTGAAACTCCCTTTAACTCCTAGCTATAAACTTGGGGACAGGTGGAATTGGTGAGGAGATCTGAGAAGGTCTGATGTGGTCTCTCACCATGGGGCGGGGCTGGGAGTGGGCTTTAAATATCAGGTCATGTTTCTGATTTGTGAGCACAGTTGAGAGATGGCTTTGAGATCCCAATATATGTTATAAGCTTGGGGTCTACACTGCTGACATGTAAGGCAGTGGGGAGAGTGGTTAACAACATGGGACTCTGGAGCTAGACTGTCTGGGTGTCAGTCCGAGACCCAACACTCACTACCTGTACATCTGTGTCTTGGTTTTTGAAATGAAAATAATGGTAGTGTATGCCTCATCGGGATTTTGTGAAGACTAAATGAATTAATGCATAGAAAGTGCTTAGAATGCTTAGGATAGTACCTGGTACATAAGATATAGGGATAGAAATAGTTATTATTGTTATTATTAACAGTTTTAATGAGCCTGTACTATAATGAAAACTAATATTTTTAGTAACTAATTCCCTCTGGGGGAGGGAATTAGACCTATCTTCTTGCCTTCCTTTCTTGGTTGTTTTGATATTCAACAAGTATTTGCTGAATGCCTCCTACCATATTACTGTGTCACAGTGAAAGCAATGACAAGTCAGTTCTTACATTGAAGGAGCCGAGGACAAAATAGACCAAGAAATGGGCTCTCACCATGTGGTGTGCTAAGGGCCAGAAGAGCGCATAGCAGGGCCACCTGACTGGTCTTGGGGAAGTCAGGGAAAGCTTCCCAGAGAACGTGACATCTAAGCAGAGAGCAGAAGAAGTTAGCCACGTGAAGGGAGGAAAAGAGTCTCCCGTGCCAATGGGACAACTTATAGAAAGGCTCAGGGTGGGTGAGAAGTCAGCCCATCTGGGAATGCAAGTTTGGGTGGGACTGAAGTTCTAGGTTGGCAGCGCTCAGGCTGGTCTCAGGGCCCCTTTACCCTCTTACAAGTCGTTGAGGATCCCAAAGAGCTTTTGTCTATTAATAGTTCATTAGAAACTGAAACAGAAAATCTTAAAACGCAAGATCTCACAAGCACACATTCCATTAGTCATTAGAGTGATGGCATCATCTTATACCTTGTAGCCTCTGCAAACTCCACTGTACACTTGTGAGAGAATGAAAATAAAAGAGGAAAGTAATGTCTTAGTATCATTTTGAAAATAGCTTAATCTTATAGACCTCCTAAAAAAGATGATGCGGCCCCGAAGCCTCCCAGACCACGTCCTCTGGTCTATGTTATGTGCCTTATGGATCTTTGGTACTTTCTTCACTACAGACTCTTGAGCACTCATCTCCCTTTCCCTTAGTCCTCACTATATCCCTGTCAGGAAGAGAGGATCAGGGGTTATTATCTTGGTTTTAAAGATGGGACCCTGAGGCCCATACAAGCTAGATCTCTTGATTCTGTCAGCCTGCTGCATCTCTGAAGGGAAGGGGCTGGCAATAATGAGTAATGCAGAACACGCTTTTCAAAGAGATCCATTGACTGTGCATCTGAGTTAGAAAGAAGGCTCAGATCGTCAAGGCGGGGATCAGCCATCAGATCTTCTTTATTGAAAATAATACACTCTTGGCTGAACTTTGTCAGAAGTGGTGAGGTTGGAATTGCTTCTTTGGCTCTTTTACTAGTCGTACAAATGGGCCTCCCGGCCGAGTTTCCCCCACACACCACTAACGGGCCTGGCTTAAGTTTTACCAGTCTGCACAGCAACAAAACATGACCATTTGCTCTGTCTCTGGGCTCCCTTTGATATTCTCACATTTACTTTTTCTGCCACATAAAATGTGAAACAATATGGGAAGGTAAAAACCCTATTACTCTGGGGTGGTTGTGGCTGTTGCTGTTGTTCCTGAGAGATGAAGGGCTTGTTGGAAAAAAGAAAAACAACACCAGTCTGGGTGGTGGGTATTGTGTTCATGTTTGTCAAACAGATTCCTGTCTTTACCAAGGTTGGTTTATACCCTGGTTGAAAAAACACAGTCAAAGGCATGTGAAAATCTTTCTGTCATGTCCATTCGCATGTCTCATCTGTGTTGTAATAGTTCTGTTCCACCCTGTTGTTCTTTATGGGAAAACATAAGGGGTTAAGATTGGGAGGGCCCTTTTTCTCCTACTCTACAGCTTATAGATTCCTTCTCCATATAAAGCTACCTTTGAAATCAGTAAAACGCCTGCACCTGGAAAAGAGATGGTAGGGATTGAAAGGAATGATAATCTCCATGGGACTTTCAGAGCCAGCTAAGTAAATAGAAAATTGTCGTTTTTTTCAAAAGCAGGAAATCATTTTGTAATCAGAAAGGCAATTCTTTCACAGAACGTTTTCTTGAATTATACATTTTGACTTCTTTGAAAACTGTTTACATAAATATATCCAACCTCAGAAGTATTTCTATAGTATACCTTAACAATGAGAAATAAGCTTAAAAAAAAAAAGAGAGAAATATGCTGATCTCTGAATTTTCTGGGACCATGGAAGAAAGACTCAAATGATAGGACATGCAGAAAAAAAGAAAGAAAGAAAGAAAGAACATGTGGGATTCATTTCTTAATCATTTTAAAAACCAGAGGTTCATAGTTGTGATGCTGAAATGGATGGAAGTAATGCCCATCAGAAAAGGTGAGATTATGCAGTAGGTTCACAAGAGCCCCTGGTAAATCATATTAAATCTCAATAAAGGCTAGATAAGAGCCATGGACATTACCTCACTTGGGAACAACACTGGCAGGGCTACCCTGTCTTTTAAATAGAATTATCCGTCTGTTTTTGTTGCCAAAATTCTGCATGTTGGGGACTTAAGATTTTTACGAGGTTTCTTATCACTCCCAAGAAATCACACTGGAGTCCAACAAAGTTCTCTTGTATTGAGGAAGATTTTGGCCAACAGTCATGAGGAAAGATTTATTCTGATTCTAGGGTATTTAACTCACCCTTTGGTGTTTCATAAAGAAATATAACCATTTGAAGGAAAAGTTTGAATTTTGAGTTTTTTCATTTCCTGTCTGTTTTGGTTATTTTTTCTGATGGTGTAAACATAAAAAGGTGATCCCTGCTCTTTCTTTAATTAAGCTCTTTTATATGGGTAAGGTAAAGTGGGTAGGTTGAGGCAGTTTACCTTCTGCTTTAAAGCAGAAAAATCACTTGTGCATTTTATCTGAACATTCTAGGCAAAGGTATTCCTTTTTTTTCCGTTAATCCAACTAATCACCACATCGCTACACATCCCTATGCTGGTATTAAACGTTCTCAGTTTTTACCAGCAGAACCTGTTGAACACTTCTTTAATTATTTTATTCCCTCCAAGTTTGGAGCCTCGATTTCTGCACTTTTAGAATTCTGAGTCAGAAAAATTCCACTTTTCTGGCTGTGGAGCTGAGCAGCAGTGCTGCATACTTGGGCTGACATGAAATATTAGCCAGGGATGGACTTCAGACAGCCTAGGCCCACGCATTTGGAAAGTTTGCCATAGGAGACGTAAAATGAACACTCTGAGCACCTCCTGCGTTCCACGTGAATTGCATATGTGATTTCATTAATACTCACAGCCACCCAGCAAGGAAGGTGCTATTCCTGCCACCCCCACCCTCCCCAACCCTGGTCTCTGGCGAGGAAATTAAAGTAAGCCTGAGAGAGGGCCTTGTGTAAAGTCACAGAGGACGTCGGGGCAGAGAGAAAATACTAAACTCTGAAGCCTGTGCTCGTTTTTCTCTTTAAAGCTTGCGGCCTCTCTGATAGTTGATATGAATAACACCCTTTCATGCCCAGGGAAACCAAACCAAGAGTCCATCTTCTCTCCTTAAATCTAATTTGATATGATACAACACTGGAAACAAAGGAAGTCCATCAGTATTTTACAGAGGGACAGCGGAAGTCAGTGAAACCCAGAGAAGCTACAAGTGGTAAAATACTTTTTTTTTTTTTTTTTAGCTGAACCATCCTGCCACCTGTTGGCAGCTCAGCGGCTGCTCAGCTCGGGCTGGGACTCGAACTGCTGTTGCTCAGAGCTCAAACTCTTGAACGAGCTCTTAACCAACTGAGCCACTCGGCCGGCCCTGTAAAAGACTTTTAAAAGTACTCATTGTACCTTCCCTGCCTCCGCTCATCTCTTTCTCACCATTTCTCTTTGGTCTTCCATTTAGTGCTTTTAACCTAGGAATAAAGAATCCTCCCTTGGGACCTAGGTTATAGCCAAGTTCGCAGTTACCACACCTTCCGTCATCCCTAAGGGGCTGACAGAACTTCTAAAACATGGGCAACCATAGAAAATTATAGATCCTAGGCCTGGGAGCTGATGGGACCAAGAAAAAGTGGTCAGGATTGAACTCTAGTCAGCATGCACTGTGATATGCTTACCCTGGCCCAGGCACAGGTGAGAACAGGAGTTTATCTTTAAGGGTCGTAAACTCCCAGTGTGAGGATTTGTGGGTTAGAAACCAAGTAAGTGAGCCAGC